GAGGAAAATAGAGAGGGTTGTGTTTTCTGACACTTGGTGAGTTCCCTGGAACACCGGGGACACATATTCATGTATAAAAGACGTACAAAAGTGCATTTTGCATGATAGGTCCCCTTTAAGTCACAGAAACACAATTTTTCTAATAAAAAGCTTTATTAGCACAAAATGAGAAGTTAACATTGTCTCTTTAACATTGACTGATTAAAACACATTATACACATTTTACACATTATAAAACACACTGAAAAAATTTCAATGTTACTTTTTATTTTTTAGTAATTTCAACTTAATTATACTGATAATTTTTTTGTAGAATTTACTCACTAAACCCATGTTAAGTATACTAAAATGGATTATGTAACCGTTGTAGTGATCACTGTTTATCATAATTCACTCATGGAACTACAGGTTGGGGGTATTGTTCTGCACGGACACACATGTTGACTGTCCCTCCTGTGTACCTACTGTGTGCCCTCCTTTCTCATCTCCCCTTCTCTTCCCGGACTGCAACCGGACAACATGTGCTTTTCTGCTGCTCAATAAAGCCAACTTTGCACCTTCGATGCACCGCCTCCGACTCCCTTCTCTCGGCACCACACTGGTGACATAAGTCTCGCAGAAGTTTCCGAGACTGGACCGAACATGGCTAGAAACGCAGTTTTTCTCAAACTGCCAGAGATTTTTGGAGACGTCCGTGACTGCCTCTTGCACACGGACTGAGGCTCGGTGCGCCCTCCGCGGAATGGCCGAGGACGCTCGCCATTCCCACATCGTTTCGGCACTGGGAGACGGCGAGCCTTCCGACCACATGGAGACGATACACGACCTGCTAGGTACGGAAGAACCCGACTTCTTGCACATGGAACTGTTTCTTCGGGTCATGCGGCCGCATGTCCAGCCAGGATAGTGTTGAGCCCCGCGCTTTAGCCGAAGAAGCTGACCGGTTCTTCCTGGCCGCCCGGCGATTTACCCCTGAGGTGCTGGCCCCGACACGCAACAGCACCTTCCCTGGCCTAGCAGAGGCTCCGAGGCCGACGACATCGAATAACGGCTACCGGCTTGCAGCTAACGGCCGTCGACAACGGCTAACAGCTAACGGTTAACAACGGCTAACAACGGCTAACAGCTAACGGCTAACAATGACAGCTAACGGCTAACAACGACGACTAACGGCTAACAACGGCTAGCAGCTAGCGATGACTGACAGCTAGCGGCTAATGGCTAACTTCAACCTGGTCTCACCAGAATGCGTGACTCCACCACGACTCCTTAACACCGCAGTGTGTGGTGGAGTCACAAACTTTGCTACATTTACGTGTCTGCACCACGCAAACAAGCCCAATGTAAAGTGAATGAGGCTCCTTTGTCGTGGTGCACACACGCATTTCTACAACGTCCAGCAGTGAGCTTTTATTCTATAAAATGTTTTTAAAATCTACTTTATAGCTTGTAGTAACTCACGGGAGGCTTCTTTTATTATATTTGTATTCATAATAATTTTTAGTTTTCGTCAGAATGTATTATGGTGCATTAGTTACGAATTTTTGTTCTCAAAAAACAGTGCATTGTGTGTAATACAACTGTGATTTTTATTAAATTAGTTAGTTTTTAACCTGTTAAGCACCAAGCCTGTTTTTCATGTTTCAGGCTCGAAAATGACATGCCCAAAACAAATGACTACAACTTAACTTCTAAAAGGGTTATATGAATAATTTCTTTTATCAAAGCAAGGTTACATCTGTGAGTTGGATGTAGAAGTGTCAGAATCAATATAGACGATTTTGATGGTTGACACCTCTTTCTGACCGTTAGAGCCAATAGAATCGAAGGGGGAGGCCCCCACACACACTCGTTGTGAAAACAAACGGTGGGGGCTTCCCGCATGCAGGTTTGCACCAGAGTGAAGCGATCTCTCGCTCTGACATTTTAAACGAAAAAGCAGTTTTATTGCTTATGGATTATCAGAAATCATTTCAAAGAGGACACAGACACATTGGATTAACCTATGGATTAACTGCAGCATCGTTTTTTTTATCGTTTTAATGCCATTGAAGACCAGTTTTGACCAAGGTAAGCCATGTTAGCGTTTGTAGCTACCTAGCTCCACATGTTTTGATGTACGCTTTCGTTTATAGTGTCGCAAATGTTTATCACTGAGTGTTGAGGTGGGCACCCACAGATTCTGTGTCTCCAGGAGATGCTAATCGAGGCTGTGCATCTAGGATAAGTAATAAGGGAGTTATGAGTGAGTTTAGGTGCAGTGATAGGTTATTTTTTTTTGCTCGTGGCTAATTCAGAGGCTGAGTGTTAGCATTGTGGGGTTTTTTTTGGAAAAAAAAAATTAAAAAGATCAGTTAGCTGAGTTTCTTCCCGTTACATGGATATAAAACATTGATAGTTTATTAAATATTAACATTCCTTAGACGTTGTTTCCTGCAAATGACGCGTTTATCCGCCCGGTACCGGGGGGGCGGTGCGTAACAGGTTAAGGAAGGCCAGAGCTTCAGCTGTGTCAAATAGATTGTTCCCTTTAGTTAACGTTATTTAAAAGATAATTATATTCCTATTTGATCATGTCCCCTTTATTGTATTACGGACGCAGAGAGCAATGTGAGCGTCCATTCCCATTGGATAACGGAGGATTTTACACCCGGAAGTAAGTATTCTCCTTACTGTTGATTGATTTTACAGTGATATCTGCACTACTCATCAACTCAAAAACACCAGATTATCCTTGTTAATTACACAACATTGATTGGTTTAAATTGTGTACAATGCTTTTGTAATTTCCCCCTTCGATTCGGAGAAACAAATATTTGTTCAGAGTTTAGGATGGCCGAAGACACTACACTACCCAGAATCCTCAGCTATTGTTCCGCTTTGCCTCAAGCTCTGTGATTGGTTGACCTCCAACTGCATTCCATATGAAAAAAAACGTTTCGTAAAAGATAAAATCATACTTTATTCAGCAGTGCTTGCTTTACTCTTTGAAAGTCATCACATGTAATGAATGGTTTGGCTGCATTAAATATTATACATCTGTCGTAGTTCTTTATTTATCTACAGAGATCGGGCCTCAGAATAGACCGGAAACTATTATTTTACCGTTCTGTTTTAATTTCACAATAAAGTTAGTAGTAATAATTTGTTTTGATATTATTGTTTTTTATTAACTACGAGACCGCTGGGTCATGTTAAGACCATCTTTTCTGTGTTGCTGTGGTTTTTTTACATCGCTTTTGTGTTACAAATATCAAAACAATAACAGAATATATCCGTCGTAAAGTAAACCAGAAACAGCAGTATATTTTATTTTGTTAACACTGTAAACTTGACAGCTTTTTAACCCGCACCTCCTACTGGTTAAAGCACGTTATTACACGTTTAGAGTCATTGCAATGCAGGTAGATTGTGTTGCTTTTTAATGACTGCTTTAAAATGCCTTTTTCTTAACCTGTTAAGCCCCGAGCCTGTTTTTCAGGTTTCAGGCTCGAAAATGACATGCCCAAAACAAATGACTACAACTTCACTTCTAAAAGGGTTATATGAATATTTTCTTTTATCAAAGCAAGGTTACATCTGTGAGTTGGATGTCGAAGTGTCAGAATCAATATAGATTTTTCTCAGTCAGAGTAAATTCAGATGGAACATAGTAAAAAAAAGGTAAATTCTTACCTCCGCCTAAAGAAAAAACATTACTTATAGTGAAAACCACCCTTGAATGATGGGATGGTAGACTAAAAGCTTTAGGAATCCAAACTATAACATATAATAAGTACCCTGTATCAAGATTGAGGCAAAACAAGTTAAATTTGACCTTTTTAGAGAGGTTTAGCAAAAAAAGGTTCCAGGCGGAATAAGCTTTCGGCACATTTGGGTATATCTGGTTCCATCAGTGCCATTTGACCTTTTTCAGGTACCAGACTATAAAAATGATGTATTACATTGAATTATCACCATAGGTATTCATTCCATTCAAATAAAAAAAAAAAAAAAAAAGATTAATATTTTTTTTTTTTTTTTTTAAAAGACCCGCCGACGGGGGCTTTGGGGCTTAACAGGTTAATGTCTTTCATTTTTGTAAAGCTTTTGAATGTGTTATATTTGATGAAAAAAAAAACTCTTAACCTGTTAAGCACCATGCCTGTTTTTCAGGTTTCAGGCTCAAAAATGACATGCCCAAAACAAATGACTATTACTTAACTTCTAAAAGGGTTATATGAATAATTTCTTTTATCAAAGCAAGGTTACATCTGTGAGTTGGATGTAGAAGTGTCAGAATCAATATAGATTTTTCTCAGTCAGAGTAAATTCAGATGGAACATAGTAAAAAAAGGTAAATTCTTACCTCCGCCTAAAGAAAACCCATTACTTATAGTGAAAACCACCCTTGGATGATGGGTTAGTAGACTAAAAGCTTTATGAATCCAAAGTATAACATATAATAAGTACCCTGTATCAAGATTGAGGCAAAACAAGTGAAATTTGACCTTTTTAGAGAGGATTAGTAAAAAAAAGTCCAGGCGGACTAACCTTTGGGCACATTTGGGCACGTTTGGATACCATCAGTGCCATTTGACCTTTTTCAGGTACCATACCGTAAAAATCATTTTATTATCACTATAGGTATTCATTCCATCAAAATACAAGTGTTTTTATAAAAAATAATTTTTAAATAATTTAAATTTTTTTTTTTTTTTTTTTATTGTTTTAAATTACATTTCTTTTTTTTAATGTAAATGGTGTGTGTGTGTGTCTGTGTATGGACTTTTCCACAGTCCTTACATGTTTATCACCCGACTAACACTTCTAGGAAGGTTTACTTACACAATAAAAATTAGGAAACATAGGATAAATTTGTCTCCAACAGGAGCAGATTTATTTACACAACACACTATAAAATAAAACTACACTAAAACCTAAATAAAACCACAAGCATTTTTTTTGTAAACACTCGCAAAAAAAAAAAAAGCAAAAATGTACACAAAAAGAAAAAGTGTTCAGTCAGAGGTGTGCCATGCCTTGAAGCAGTTCTTCTTTGAAGTGAGGCACAGAGGGATCAGGCACTTAGTGCAGTATATAGGTGTCTTTACCGTTTTGTTGCCAGCCTCAGAGCACCTCCTGCAGTACCTCCTGTGCTTGGTGGCATCTTCCCCATAATACGCGGGCATGCATACCTGTGATGATGGGGGGAGTGGTGGTGGTGCTGCAGGGACATCACCCCTCAATTCTGCAGAAAGCTGCTCCCTGAAGGACTTCTGGGTGTGTGGGTTCGTCATGCCGGGGTCAACCCTCATCTTGTGCAGCTCCTTGTGGAGAATGAAGCTGTTGACCACGGCAATGTCCAGAAAATGGTAAAAAAAAGTCTTGTACCATTTCATGGTTTTGCGGAGAACGCTGTAGTACCCAATCAAAGCATCGGACACATCCACGCCGCCCATGCTTCTGTTGTAGTCCACCACAGCGTCAGGAACGGTAACAATCTTAGTCTGCCACACACCAGCCCGTTTCACATTCCTCCTGACAGTCTGTCCACTGAAGGCTGCATGCACTGTGGAGCACATGGTCACTTCACGGCTGTCCATCCACTTTATGAACAGGAGCTTGCTTCTCCTTATCCAACGCATATCTCCCCTTTCAGCCTTTTTCGGAAGGTCGTTCAACTCAGTCTGTGGAAAACCAACTCGATTTTTTCGAATGGTCCCACAACAGCCAATGTTTTTTGCGAACAAATCCCCAAAGAGGGCAGGGCTTGTGTAAAAGTTGTCCACAAAGAGTGTGTAGCCCCCACCGAGCAGAGGGAAAGGCAGGAGGTCGACCACGGAGGTGTAGCTGAGTCCCTGGCCTGAGAGGAACTCACTCTTCCCTGTGTACACAAAGAAGTTCCATGTGTATGCCGTGGAGGAATCCGCCAGCACAAACAGCTTGTAACCCCACTTTGTTGGCTTATTCTTCATGTACTGCTTCAAGCTTATGCGGGCTTTGGAGGCGACCATCCTTTCATCTATTGAAATGTTTTGATGGGGCTGGAAATGTGCTTTGCAGGCAGCAGTGATTTCAGTGTACAGGGGCTTTATCTTGAAAAGTCTATCGTACTCTGCGGTGTTCCTTTTGCGATCATTTTCTTCGTCTTCTTTCGGGTCGCTCATGTGCAATGACCACAGGATGGCGTGGAAGCGTTGCCGGGACATCGTATCACCTGGGAATTTGAAATTATATGGAAATGATGTCCTCCAGTAGTCCGATTGGTTGTGAACGCTAACTAGGCCTGTGAAAATGACAATGGACAGGAAAATATAAAAATCCTTGAAAGTCAGCACTTTCCAAGGGTACTTCTTTCCAGCCTGCAATTGATACAGGGCCTTTGTGTTTGTGTTGGCAATGATTGTATGAACCACGGCATGGCTAAAAAATAGTTTGAAAAGCTGAAGGGGAGACCATTGTGCAGTGTTGTCCAACGCTGGCCCTGGGACCCTGGCAGGCATGAACCTCAGTGGCTCTGGTGTTTGGTCATTCTCTTCTTTGTTGTGCCACCCGAGTTCTTCCTCTGTCGTTCTGGAAGAGGAAGACCCACCTCGACCTCGGCCACGCTTTCTGGGATTTACAGCTTTTTTCGATGCTTTTCTTTTGCTGGGCAGCTCAAATGATGGTTCCGAATCAGAAGATGCAGAGGGAGGCTGAGTTAGTACAGGTGCAGACATCCGGCGACGTAGCTTGGATGTTGAGGGCTCTGGGGCAACTGTATGCTGATCTGATGCACGTCGTAGCTCGGATGAGGCAGATGTTGATGGCTGTGATCCAGAAGCCATATCATACTCGTCATACTCACTGTGAAAAATGTGGGAAAAACAAATCGATTACTTCACTGGCTTATTCTTTCAAAAATGTAACTCAAATCAGAAATAATTCCTCCATTTAGCGTGTGTGAAATAACAGTATATATATATATGATATACAATACAGCTTTATTTATATACTGCCGTGTTATAGTGACGAAATACAATTAATCTATTGATAAGTGTTCACCAACACGTGTTCCCATTGTTTACTTGTCTCGCAGAACAACAAAACAGCATCCATTTCGCGTACAGTAGGCCTATAGACTGCGTTGATATACAATACAGCTTTATTTATATACTGTTTTAATTAATTATTTATTTATTTATAATTAATCTATTGATACGTGTTCACCAACACGCATCTTCCCATTGTTTTTCGACTCTCAGAACGATTATGCGAGAACAACAAAGCGGCGTCCATTTTTTCTTTTGCGAGTGTGGAATTACTATAGATTACACCAAATACATAACTAATAGACACAAACAGAGAGAGTACATACCTTTCCTGAAGTTCATAATCCGGGTCTGATTGTGGCTGAAGTAAATCCTCATCTTCTGACGGAGAGTCAGCGAACACCATTTCCACGGCATCTTCAAGCTTGTACAACCTCTTTCTGGGTGGCATTATTTGCTCAAATAAGTCCTAAAAGCAAATAAATCCTTGTCCTTGTCCTTATATATAATAATAATATTATGTTATGCTGTCGTCTCGGTTTTCTCTGTTGTCTCTGTGTTCTCTGTTCGCTGTGTTCGTCGCTTCGTTCGTTTGCTCCTCCGGTGCTGCTGGCGGTGCTGCTGCTGCTGCGTCGTCTGCGTAATGTGGCTGGAGCTGGCATAATTTATGTTACGCAGGATCGTAACTCTGGAACCCATTGGTCGATTTGGGTGATTGACACCTTTTTTGAAACTTTAGAGCCAATAGAATCGAGCTGCAGTTAGTAAAACCGGCTAAACAACTACGTGGAGGAGGGGGAGCTGTGCGTATACCTCGTGGGAGACAGCATCAGTGCCGGACTGCAAAACTTTATACCTACTCTGCTGCCATGAATGTAATGATAGATTATCAGGACCAATTCTAAAAGGACTAAGAGATTTTGGATTAACCTTGAGCAGCGTTTTTATTCCCTTGAACACGACTTTTGATCACAAAACAGCAACGGTAAGACAAAATTATTGTTACGGTTTTGAAAACTGTTGTTCTTTTCTTGCTCTGTTCTGGCTGCTAGCTCAGTGAGTTTGTGTCCTCCAGTGATGATACTTATATCAAAATAATCAGTGGAGTATCAGCTTTCAGATTATGTGTAGTTTGTGCAGATAATATGAAGGTATAAAGATCGTTTTTGCTAGTTAGCACCGGAAGTAGCATTTGCCCGTTTTGGCTAAGGGCTAATGCTAACGCTTCTTGTGAGACTTGTGTTTTGTTTCGGTAAAAATGGCTTGTATCGTCAGGTAGCTGAGTTTTTTCCCGTTTATTGAGTATAAGACATTCATAGGTTTTTAAATATTAAGAAGCCCCCAGACGCTGTCTCCTGCAGTGACGCGTTTTTCCGCCCGGTACCGGGGGGGCGGAGCGTAACAGGTTAATATATTGGGAAAGTGGAAGGTCAATGATATAAATAATACAGAATAGAAAATATCAAGAAGATACTGTAAGTGATCTCTACAATTAAACAGTTTAGTGCCTGATATGAGGATGTGCAAAACAGACAAACTAATAAGGCTTTATTTAAACATTAAAGAATACTTTAGGTTAAGGTCTTCTTTTAAATAAGAAAAAAGCTTTGGGGGCATCTACAGATATTAAGCCTGACAAAGTACTTAACGTCTAATATATTGCATGGTTTGTTTTGGAACTTGACAATCAACTTTCCTGCAATTTTCTATGTTGAAGCACTTATTTTAACTGATATTACACATATTAATTATACTCTTATAAGATGTATGTAGATAGTATAAGAAATGTGCAGAATATGTTTAATGGTGGAGGTACACAGATATTGATAGATGTCTTGTAATGCACTGTTGAGGAACCTATGACCCAAGTTTTTCATTCATTGCATAACTACACCGTAGTTGTGTATATGATATGTCAATAAACCTTAGAAAATCTTGAAATCTTGAAAGGGATGTGCAAAATAGCCATTATATACAGTTTTTAATGAACTATTAGTAGATTATGTATCTAATATATCATATTCCAATCACTTGTATATAGACTCTTATTGCACTATTTCACTTTTTACTATTTTACTATTTTTCTTTTTGTATTTACTTGCACAATTTTTTCTGTGTATCTGTTTTATTGTGTTGCACTGTTGGAGGAGCCTGTGACCTAAGGGAGGGGGGGTAGGACAAGTTCGATTCCTGTTTTGGATAGTGTGCCATCGATGGGTTTCATTCCATTTCAAAGTGCTTTTTGACGCCCGTGTAAACTTTGCGCACTGCCACTCCAACATCCAACCACAGAGCTTGAGGACTGATCACGGGGTTTGTCAAGCTAAGCACATGGGGCCGTTCTCATTTCATCAAATTCCCCTCCTCGACTCCCCTCCTCGACTCCTATCCTCAAGACTTAGTCCCGCCCACAGGAGATGCAAGCGGAGGAGCCGAGGAGGGGAACCGAGGAGAGAGGAGGGGAAGCAGCAGGCGGTTAGAGAAATGAGAACTCCTCTCCTCTGAGCGGTCATTTTAAAGAGACGTCCATTAATGATGACAGGAGGCACAGCAGCCCTCTGTCTGATGGACAGATGTGTTCATGATGACTTATATATTTACTTTTAATTCATTCACAGTGCGGTATAATGAGACAATAACAGGCTACAGATGCGGACACACACACACACACACACACACACACACACACACACACACACACACACACACACACACACACACACACACACACACACACACACACACACACACACACACACACACACACATATATATTTATATAAATATATACAATTTCAGAATCAAACAGAGCACTCTCATAATAACGTAACACTATCAGAGACTGGATATACCCCCCAATATCCAGGGGATGCATGCAGAGCTGTCATTGGCTGAGATAAGTCTGGCCGTGCGTCACGACTCTTTGAAACATCTCTGTTGCCGGAAATGCATCCACGAAGGAGCCGTGGAGGACCCATCAGTGTATCCTCGGTTATAGCTCCTCCAGATAGCCTCCTCGACGCTCGATGCTCGGTCCTCGATGTGCATTTAGAGAAATGAGATGTCCTTCAACATGGTGCGCTAAAATCTATTTCCGGGTTACTACCTTCTCTCGGCACTACACCGTAACCTTTTTTCTTTTTGTACATTCAGATCAATTAAATAGTTTAATTCCTAGATACAAAAATGAAGTTGAATTTAATTAAACATTTTCAGCCATTAGGTGGGGTAGGTAAGTTTGAGAAACCGGCTCGCGATACACTTTTTGTTATATTCCATGGAATGGTCTTAACATCCCGATAGCAATGAATATCTTAAGTGCTTTGACAAAAAATCCATAACAAAATTTCATCTGTGGAAGGCCTGTCAGCCTTCCATCTGTGCACAAACTTATCTCGTGCCCTCATTGGTCATGTGCGCGTTTGTGTGTGTTGGAGGAGTGGCTCTGTAAGGAAGTTGCCGTTTTTTTTTACCGGCTGTGTATTTTCAAATTCTAGCGCACTCGAGCTGGTTTCTCCAAAATTACCTACCCCACCTTTAACTTTCAATATATTAAAAATAAAACAAACATCATATTTGATACATACTCTTTATTATCTTGTACAAAATGACGTAACATGAAGCATGTGTCACATCTTCTGATTCGATAAAAACAACATGCAACTGTCATGGCCTCCACCTCCTCTCTGTGGCCGTGTCTCAATTCAGGGGCTGCACCCTTCGGAGTACGCAGCCTACGCGGTCCACGGAGGACCCAGCCCACGTAGACCGGGTAGGCTGGACCGAGCAGCCTACGAAATGAGACTGTCTAGCCTACGGAGGGCTTCGAATTTACGTCACGTGATACGCGCTGTTTGGTTACGCTGCTCCAGCAGCCTGCTAGCAAATTAGCTTACAAGCTAACTCAGCTGAAAAGGATCCAGAAACTTTACTTTTACATTTTTTGGAGATCACCGTCGGCGATGAATTAAAGAGGACCATGGCCAAGTAAATAAGATGAAGCTGTTCCTTTAGCACCCAGTAATGTTACATTAATAAGTTAACAAGTAAATTATATATAGCTGATGTAATTTAATCATATTATTTCATATTTAAAATAAGTCTTAATTTTTCTGTACTAATAAAAGAATATGTTTTTTAAATGAACAAAAGCATGTTGTATAGATTGATTCTTAACA